TAGTCTAAGCTTCAGCTCTACACCGAAGCGAAGCGAGGGCGGGCCGCTAGTTATAAATAAAATGTCTAAAATCCCCTTCGATCCTACTTCTGCAAAAAAAAATTCAAGGTCAAACTTACAAAATTATGGGTTTTTCCATTTTCCTCGAAAACGGTAAGTTTTATCGTGAAAACAGGTCTGACAAAAGTTGTAGATGTAGGGAAATATAATTTTCTAATTATTGATGCCGCGATATCTCACGAATGGTGAGTCGTGAGAGAAATAGTGACCAGACCATTTTTGTAGAGAATTGTATGGTCTACAACTTTTGTCTGACCTACTTTCACGACAAAACTTACCGTTTTCAAGAAAAATGGAAAAAACCATAATTTTGTACGTTATACTTGTTTTTTTTTTGCAGAAGTAGGATCGAATTATTGACATTTTATTTATAACTAGCTTTTGCCCGCGACTTCGTCCGCGTTATCGTCGTTTTTCGTAAAAAAGTAGCATATGTCCTTCCTCAGGGTTCCGTGGTTTTGATGTGACAGACAGATTAACTTTTGTATTTTAGTAGGGAAATATAATACTGTTAAAAATATCGCAATAAGGAACCGCAGAATATTATTATTATCACTGTGCCCCTAGACCATCAGCGTGTAACTCCTTGTATGTTATTATGTTAATGTATTGGTAATATTGTTTAGATCGCTTTCACATGAGTCTTAAGTACATATAGAATGAAAATACTTCAGCGCAAAGCTTCCGGGTAGACTACGTTGAAATTTGACCCGTCCGGAACGTGAACATAAAAAATTCTAGGACTGCTAACCCGGGAAAGACCGACATAACTGACCATGTGAAAAACAACTGACACCGAGATCTACTCCAACATCACGAAAGGTCTGCCCTTGAGCCTTATTTATTGTCATTGCATAACACACCGATACTGGGAATTGCGTTCTTTTAAATTGGAATGGAAAATTATTTGGTATTATGGGAATTCTGGGAATAAAGATGGTTTCTCCTGCACCGCAACCTATTAAAATTTGAGCCTCGATTACATTTTGTTGCAACTGGGTTACTTTAAGCCGAGTTCCATTGCAAATTTGTGGTGGTCTTAAATTTCGGAGCAGAATAATCGGAATGCCAATTTTTAAACAAATTTCATGAGAAGGAAGTACGGGCATATTTAAAGAATTTAAAAATTCTATCGGGTAATTAGTGGCTTCTTGTTCATCGGCCATTCTATTTATTGCACTATAAACTTTGCTTTCCCCCTGGATATTCGACAGTATTTTATTATTAATCTCAGATGCCTGGTCATTGCGAGGAGTTAAAATGGACCTTTCGCATAGCCAAGAATTGTTCTTATTTAATATGTTTGTTACGTCACCGTAAACTGACGATGTAAGATGTTGTTGGGATTGCACTATACAACATAACTCAGGCGTCAGGAATAAGTTTTCCTTGGTGTAGCAGTGGATAGGTATCTTTGGTGAAGGTATTTTCTTTAATAATATATCAGAAAATTCACGATCATCCGGGTTATCTACAGTTCTCACTCGCATGTTTATAGTCAAATGCACCGATTGTATATCACGCCACAAATAAGAGCTTTTCAGGCAAGCCCTAACCTCAGCAGTTCGGGTTCCCCGTGGTATTACCGTTAAGGTTTGTCAGAAATCACCACAAAATAAAACTGTGATACCGCCCATGGGTCGATCATTTTGTCTTATATCTCTTAAAGTTCTGTCTACCGCTTCTACTCCTTTTCGATGGGCCATCGTACATTCAGCCTATATGATTAAATTACACTTTGAACGAATATTTAAACAAAACAACTAATACGTGGTCCTAACTTTAGCTACCTTACACACAAAATCTAAGTGACTATTTGAACTAAACTGTTCTTATAGAATTATAACCAGAAATATATACAACTCACAACAAAAAAGAAATGAAAATAAAGCTGAAACGCCTGTGCAATACTATCTACCTATACCTCCTTCACTTTAAAATAAATACTTATAACTACTTTAATTAATAAAAGTACCTACGCTTAATAATTTTTAATTTGAACGAATATTTAAACACTACCAAAACAACTAATACCTGTTTTACAAAATAACGACAAAAGAAATTCAAATAAACTATTTAAAGACTAAAAGTCGCGCTGATAAGCACGGTTTCGGTCTCCCAGGCGGGGGAGCAGATGAGAAATCCTCATGGATACCCTACAGCCGGCTGCAAGGTTATGTCAGACTCGTACTGACTAAAAAACACCCGTAGGGGCTGCCTCTGGCCGGGAAGGCCTCTAAGGCTTCATCGGAAGCGATCGTCCCCCAGGGGGGGGGAGCGACGCAGAAAACAGATTTAGACAGCTCGCTCTCGGACCTTTGATACCCTACCGCTGCCGCGACCCGTGTCGAGCGCGGCAACCGTTACACAAAAATAATCCTTATAGCAGGATTCAGTATTCACGTGCGACGGCGCGATGGCTTATTTCATGTATAAGTTTGGTGTTTCTATACCGAGTATTATAAACGTAAGAGTAAACAAATATGATCAGAATGCTCCGAACTGCTAAGCTATCGGGAGTTACACGTGTTATTGTGAGTCAACCATAAAAGATAGACATATGCTGTTGCGGGATATTTTGTAGACAATTTTATGTAGAATATTTCCGTCATACATGATTTCTATGTAACTTTAATCATTAAGGCTGCACACGCGACGGAAGCTTAAAAAATGGAGTAACTTCTCCCGTTTTCCCAACATTTCCCTTCACTACTCTGCTCCTACTGATTGTAGCGTGATGAAAAGTATACTATAACCTGCCCAGGAGTATGAAGAATAATTGTACCAAGTTTCGTTAAAATCCGTCGAGTAGTTTTTGTTTCTATAAGGAACATACACACAGACAGACAGACAGACAAAAAATTTACTGATTGCTTTTTTGGCATCAGTATCGATCACTAATCACCCCCTGATAGTTATTTTAAAAATATATTTCATGTACAGAATTGACATCTCTACAGATTTATTATAAGTATAGATGATGTATTTAACGTCTCTGCCAATTTTCAGCTCTATGTGAATTATTCCTAAGTCAAATGTCTATTTTGCCCTGACTATAAACAAACTCTTCAGCTTTATATTTATATTGTACTAGCTGTGCCCTGCGGTGCTATCTGCGGTTTATTAGGGATATTTTCCCGCAGTAAGCCTTTATAATATTAAGTATGATAAACATTTACAATCAGCTCTTATTTATTTCTAAAATTTTCTTTGATTATATTATTAGGTACTAATATTCAGTCGACAAAATCTATCGAAAATGTAAAATGTACGACGCAAGACACCACTAAAGTAGGTGCAATGACCTTGTACTGTGTACGTCCACGTGCAGCGCTCTGTGATCCACGCGTCATTCTTGCTTGATCGTACTACATTTCGTGTTTTGAATATCGTAGAAAAAATAGCGAGCCTACTTTGTCAGCAAGGAATATTTTTGTGGAAATATATATGTGATTTATCGTTTAATTAATATTTCTCGATTTTTTGCTAAAATATCAGTCTAACTAAGAAGTTTTATACTTACCGATGAAAAGAAATTCCTGCTTTAGGTAGATTTGATGATTGACTCCTGACTTTGCAAGTAATTATGGTACACGAAGCCATATTTTAAGCGGTAATCACAATACTCCCTCACTGTGCGTTCGCGAGCAACTAAACGACGCGATCGGACGTTACGGTCAAGTTATGAGCATTTGCTCATAACTGTGACGCGCCTGCTCCGCCCACAAGGCCATTCTAACCTCTTTCTGTGTTCTGTGCCTATAACGGGACAGTACTACGCTTCTTTACTAGAAAGATTGAAAGAAGCCATCAAGGAAAAAAGAAGAGAAAAGCTGTCAAAAGGTGTGCTCCGTCTGCACGACAATGCACCCGTTCACACTTGCCATGTTGCGACGGCTGCCATTCACCGATGCGGCTTCGAACAATTGAACCACCCACCCTACAATCCAGACTTGGCACCCAGTGACTATTATTTATTTCCAAAAATGAAGAAAGAGCTGCGAGGAAAAAAAATTGACGACGATGAAGAAGTGAAGTCCGCAATTTCGGACTATTTTGACACCAAAGACAAATCATTTTTTTTCGATGGTATAAACAAGTTATTTGAGAGATCTTTAAAATGTATTAGGGTTAAGGGAGAATATATTGAAAAGTAAAAATAGTTTGGTGTTTAATTTCAACCTCCTTCCCTCTTATTCCGCGAACTTTTTGACCTCCCCTCGTACTATAAGCGTCTAATCTAAAACTCTTTCAATTTACTGCAAACAACTGATATCAGCGCTATTGACGAGTGAAGTCAGTGCAACATTGATAGAAGCTGTGCTGCCCGTCTACGTGCTTTGCAATCCAACATTGAACATTTTTATTTATACTCACACCAATTAGCCTAGCCCCAAAGTAAGCACTGTAGTAGGCTTGTGTTATTATGGAATACTAGGGTAACGGTTAAAATACATATACTGATACATATAAATATAAGTATATTTATATAGAAATACATATAAGACATCCATGACTGGAGTACAAATGCTCGTCGTATTCATCACACAAACATCTGCCCCCACCGGGATTCGAACCCGGGACTTCTCGAGCAGGCGGCACGTTAAATTATCGTCAAATAATTGGTTCTGAAATAGTAATTTCTTTAAATAAAGTTCTAAATGGCGATGGTGCAAGTGGTTAGCACGTTCGACTGCGATCGTTGAAGTTAAGCAACTTACGCAGTGGTCAGTAATTGCATGGGTGAGTAAATTTTTTACTATTTCCAGCTCCTCCGTTAACACGTTAAGCCGTTGGTCCCGGCTGCATCTGCAGTCGTTAGCACCAACCAATCCACACTGGGCTGCATGGTGGGACATGGCCCAATCTCTATATTCAATTCATAGGGAAGGGACATTAATAGGCTAATGATGAATCTCACGTTTCTTTGTCATTGGCAGCATCAAGCTTCTCCGCTTGGGCAGCATCGGGCACTTCCTGTCCAAGGCGCCGGAGCCCCCGCCGTTGGACGCCGTCATAGAGGCCGAAGCCCTATTGCGCGAGCTGGGCTGCCTCGATGTAGCCAACAATGATGCCTTGACCCCGCTTGGAACTATATTAGCTAAACTGCCAATTGGTAAGTAGAAGGCTATGAATTTTGCATCTAAATTTGTATAGATTAGCTGCGTTCGTTATTTGCGTCTGATCAATCTTTTTAGTTTGAATCGTTCGGTCATTACATCTAGAGGGTGGGAGAGGTAAACCAGTACTGTTCGGTAATGTCCGATGTAAATCTGTTATATGTGAATATATTGACCGACAAGAAAGATTTATCTGTTTCTGTTTGTTAAACCTTTTGCGTTTTGTGCATGTTGCTCCTCATCATCGTCATCAAAAATTATTTGATGACCATCCCCTCCTCGACGACCTCTCTTTCTATTTGACTTTGCTATGCCCCCAAAATTGTATCTCATATCTCTGTTTATATTCCTACCAACCTTGTGACATTTTGGAATGCAAATAAATTGAATTAAATTACATAGTGCACACTATACATAACATTTTTTTTCCGTCACAGAGCCTCGTTTGGGCAAGATGATGGTGCTAGGCTTCGTGATGGGAGTGGGGGATGCTTTAACCACAATGGCCGCCAATTCCACCACCTTCCCGGAGATATTCTCTCTGGAGGGCAGGCGCCGGCTGTCGCCTCATCAACGAGCCCTGGCGGGAGAGCGAGCCTCGGATCACGTGGCGATGCTTAACGCTTTCCAGGTGATGTATTATATAGGATATTTTATTTGTAACGGGAGGAGGGATGCTCAAACAAAAATGGCCTCCAAACCCAATCACCTTCCCGGAGAAATTCTCTCTGGAGGGCGCAGGATCCCGTGGCGATGCTTAACGCTTTCCAGGTGATGTAATGTAAAGGATATTTTATTCGTGATGGAAGGAGGGATGCTCTTACTAAAATGACCGCCAACTCCACCACCTTCCCGGAGATATTCTCTCTGGAGGGAAGGATCACGTGGCGATGCTTAACGCTTTCCAGGTGATGTAATGTATAGGATATTTTATTCGTGATGGAAGGAGGGATGCTCTAACTAAATAGGCCTTCAACTCGCGCCACCTTCCCGAAGAAATTCTCTCTGGAGGGCAGGATTACGTGGCAAGCTTAACGCTTTCCAGGTGATGTATTATTTAGGATATTTTATTAGTGATGGGAGAAGGGGATGCTCCATCTAAAATGACCGCCAACTCCACCACCTTCCCGAAGATATTCTCTCTGGAGGGAAGGATCACGTGGCGATGCTCAACGTTTTCCAGGTGATGTAATGTATAGGATATTTTATTCGTGATGGATGGAGGTATGCTCTAACTAAATTGGCCTCCAACTCGCGTCACCTTCCCGGAGAAATTCTCTCTGGTGGGCAGGATTACGTGGCGAGCTTAACGCTTTCCATGTGAAGTGTTATTTAGGATATTTTATTTGTGATGGGAGGAGGGATGCTCTAACTAAAATGGCCTCCAACTCTCGTCACCTTCCCGGAGAAATTCTCTCTGGAGGGCAGGATTACGTGGCGAGCTTAACGCTTTCCATGTGATGTGTTATTTAGGATATTTTATTTGTGATGGGAGGAGGGATGCTCTAACTAAAATGGCCTCCAACTCTCGTCACCTTCCCGGGGAAATTCTCTCTGGAGGGCAGGATTACGTGGCGAGCTTAACGCTTTCCATGTGATGTGTTATTTAGGATATTTTATTTGTGATGGGAGGAGGGATGCTCTAACTAAATAGGCCTCCAACTCGCGTCACCTTCCCGGAGAAATTCTCTCTGGAGGGCAGGATTACGTGGCGAGCTTAACGCTTTCCATGTGATGTGTTATTTAGGATATTTTTTTGTGATGGGAGGAGGGATGCTCTAACTAAATTGGCCTCCAACTCGCGTCACCTTCCCGAAGAAATTCTCTCTGGAGGGCAGGATTACGTGGCGAGCTTAACGCTTTCCATGTGATGTGTTATTTCATCATCATCATCATCATCATCATCATATCAGCCGTACGACGCCCACTGCTGGACATAGGCCTCACATTATATATAGGTTATTTAGGATATTTTATTTGTGATGGGAGGAGGGATGCTCTAACTAAAATGGCCTCCAAACCCAATCACCTTCCTGGAGAAATTCTCTCTGGAAGGCAGGATTACGTGGCGAGCTTAACACTTTCCATGTGATGTGTTATTTCGGATATTTTATAAGTGATGGGAGTAGGGGATGCTCCATCTAAAATGACCGCCAACTCCACCACCTTCCCGGAGATATTCTCTCTGGAGTCCAGGATCACGTGGCGATGCTTAACGCTTTCCAAGTGATGTATTATTTATGGGTTCATTTCAGATTATCTAGGTCGCAAAATGACTAACCCTCATTAATGACTATATCTCAAAATGACTACATATCATTTCGTCTAGATCTTTAATTGACTAAATCGCATAATGCCTGAGATCGCAATATCACTAGATCTTCATTTAATCAAATGAAATAATGACTAGATTGTAAAATGACTATATCTTTACTTGACCAAATCTCACAATGACTAGGTCGCAAAATTACTAGATAGCTTATTTTTCTAGTTTGTGTTTTGTTGCATAAATGTTGCCTAGTGTAACTGCAGAATTTCGGTTGATTATATGTAATTGAATTACCATCAGTTACGTTACTTAAAACCTAAAATATAATAGTAAATATTTTCTTTTTCTTCTTATTTTAAACACGACCAATATATTACAATCTACACACGACTTTACAGCTTCTGATTTTAGTTTAAGCATGAACTTTATCAGAGTCGTCCTTTGCTGAATCCTAACCAATGCCTCAGTGCCTCTCTGGAGGCATGGCATGACAGAACTCTAGAACATTTGTTCTATATCTTTCAACAGCAGGAAATCATGGACTGGTTTTATTGTCACCACAATATTTTTGGAGTTTACTCCTTAAGAATCGATTTGCATATATAAGGGGCCAGGTATGAGAAAAATGTGAGGAGTAAAATCTATCAATGAATGACCTCGTTACGTTTTTGGTGCGCATCCTATGTCGCGCAACTTTGACAAACAAAGATGACGGATTGACATTAATATTTTTTTTTTAAATCTGAACTGAATTTAGATATTGTTTCTGATAGAGCAATGGGGACAACGAGGTATTATACGAGGTACAACCATTGATGCGGTATTTTCAAGATTCGTGAACCACGTATCTACGAACGTCCATGTGTCTTATTTTAGTTACCATAAACCACTTGTCACTGTAATTAATAATGCAGACAATATTGATTTGATTAATATTTTTAAAAAAATGATAATAGTCTGATAATAATAATTACATAATTTATCAACGTTCCTAATGATATATTTATGCACATCTGAAATTGACTATTGTAAAAAGTTTAATGTAAAATATTTCGTCGATTAGTTATAATAAATGTATATTAAATGAATAAATATATATTTAGGTATGTATATTATTTTCATTAATTTGTTAATTTACCCTTTCATACAGTATCAATCTTTTTTAAGTTAAATAAACTCTTTTTGCGTCTGGTTAGATTATCGAACTTAAAACGCGCTACTAACATGCCTGCCGCAGGGACAATCTAGGGTGCACGGCGGTCGGCCCAATATCGGCTTGTCTCTACACACGTGCCTGCTATTCGGTGTTCGGGCGTATGTTGAGCTAAACACACGCGTTGATGATGGTCCCAGTGTTATCAAAAAATATGTTACCGTAAATAAGGAAATACTGGGTGAAGAATTGGCAACAGAAAGAAATGTATTGTAAATAAGTAATGTTTATGATTAGAAAAAAATCCACGCGGACCTGGCAGCAGACGGGACTCGAACCCACACCCTTCGCTATCCGGGCGAATGCACTGATCAATTCTGCTACCGCGACCCTGACAGCCGTATCGAATTCTTTCTAGCCTTTCTTAAGCTGCAAGATAGCGCCATCTCTTCGCATTATATGTAACCCACAATGTCTAATGAATAATAAGAACCTTTACAAGTATTAAACATTTAAAAGAAGAAATAGCAATTAATGTCATCAATTTTAATTATTTAAACATGTAACTGCTCAATGTTTGAATCTAAAGAAAATATTACAAGAAAAAATTAATAAAAAAAACTATTTCTATTTTTCTCGTAATATTTTCTTTAGATTTAAACATCGAGCAATCACATTCTTAAAAAATGAAAATTAATTAAAAAAATATATAAATAATGTTTGTTTGTTTTATCCCACATGTGGGGCCGGTATTTATATACTTCGATCACTCGTATCCAAACTTCATGCTCATTATGATCTGCCGCCATTTTAATCGAAATACGTGCGCTGCGTGTGACAGCTACTAACCGACTGTTTGAGAAATTGGCCCAATCGCGCTACACACGCGGCAACGTGCAGGGCGGTTGGGACAATCTAGTGAGCAAGGGTGGTCGCGCGCTCCTGCCGCCCTGCCGCAGGCCCGATTTAAAAAATTGTCCCAATTTGCCTACACACATCACAATTCAGGAGGCAATTTAGGATCATCCGTACTGTTACACCCTAGTTTGTCCCTGCGGCAGGCAAGTCAGTAGGCGCTTTAAGGAGTAAACTCCAGTCGTGCGTCGGAGCTGACACACACATTTTTTTTGTATATATTTTCGTAATTCCTAGAAGTCTTGCTTTACTATTTAACAATCCCTCTCGATTTTTTGTCAATATATTGAAGAATTATCAATGTCTTCTGTCTCATTCACTCACTTACTTATAGGTATAACGAAATAACCCTTTCAGTTCGGAAATAAAAAATAATAATTATCCAATTTAATGCACTTGTTCGGAATTTGTGCGCGTACATACACATCGGAGATTCATTTTTAGGGCTCCGCGGTTTTGCTTGGAGACTATTAGCACTATAGAGCTGTAATTTTGTGGAGATATGTATATTGATCACGCTGATAAAATGGTAGAATAATATTTTGAAATAGTACATTACGATACGCGTGACCTAAGTTGCCTATTACTGCACGGCGTGAAGTTAGCGCCCGAGCGGAGCGAGCTCACAAGTATCGTTTACTATTTTATAGCAAGTGTGACATAAACCGCCCCGGACGCGGGCAAGAGGGGGGGGGGGGGGGGGGGGGGTTCGGGGGGGCCTCCGGCGAGGGATGCGATTAGTGTTTTGAAAGTAAAACTCATGTATTGCAATCACAAAGAATTGCAATACAGACTGCAAGTCAAACTCTGAAAAAATATTAGTTCCAAAACGCTACCGATAGTACCAACTGCAACGGTTTCTGAGCCGCACGTTTTTATAAAAAGTATATAAGCACTTCGTTTCAGATGAAGCTTGTAAGGCACTTCTGGCCATAAGCCTAAGGGTGTCTTTTAGTCAGTAAGATCTTGCAGCCGGCCATAGGGTATCCATGAGGATTTCACATCCGCTCCCCCGCCTGGGAGGAAGCAAAAAAAAAATTATTTTATAATGAGACGCAGTTTGACTTTGATTTAGGTATTTTAGTTGAGTAGCATAGATTGATATTAATTGTTTTTTCTAATTTCCGATACAGAAAATAAAGACTCCTGCTCAAATATATTGTGGTAACTACAGGCAACTACGGAATCCTACACTGCGCGTGGGTCGACACGCACTTGGCCGGTTATTATTCATAGAGAATTTATAGTTAACTAGTTATATGTAGTCAATCAACCTATCTAGTCATTATGCGACCTAGTCATTGTGAGATGTGATCAAATAAAGTAGTGAGTCATTTTACGATCTAGTCTTTATTTCTTGTGGTTAAATAAAAATCTAGTCATTTTGCGATTTTAGGCATTATGCGATTAGTCAATTAAAGATATAGACGAAATGATATGTAGTCATTTTGTGATATAGTTATTAATGAATGTTAGGCGACCTAGAGAATCTGAAATCAACCCTTATTTATAATCTATTCAACTTTCTCTGAGACAATAGGTAAACAAATAAATCAATGTTTCTAAAACTTTTTTGTATTGAGAGTAAAGATGGTTGGTGTAACCAGTCTCATAATAAAAAATCATATTACAGCTTCAATTATTTGCTTTATTAATTTAGTAGTATTATAATGCATTCAAAGTTTGAGAATAGCTGCAGTTTTAGGTCATTTTAGTGTCACTTATACAAAATGCGATATATTGAGAAACCATTTTGTGGCTTGTTTACCTTTTGTCGCAGAGGTAAATGAATATATTATATTGTATAGTGAAATATTCTTTATTATTTAGATTTATTTGTGTAACAATCTAATGCTTATAAATTTGCCAATATTTACTTTAATACTATATTCTCCCGAATGTATGACACTTGCAAAAGTATCTCATTTGTCTTGCAGCTTAATAAAAACTATAAAAAACATACGGCAGGTCCATTATGATTGCAGTAGTATAAATGGTTTAATCCTAATGCCGAATGCTATGATTCGACTTCTTTTTAGCATCTCTTATCTATTAGACAAGTACGTCCGTCTGTGGTGCTGTTTCAGCGGCCAAACCGTAAGAGATAGATAAAGAGAATATTTAAGTTATAAGTTAAGAATAGTCTGATAAGACTACAAACCGGATTTGAGTAACGTAGCACTTCCGGTTTTCGAGAAATCAGGTTTTGGTGAACATTTGGTTCACTGGTTTGCTAGTACAAATATAATAGTATAATATTTAGATCGAGTTTAACTTCAATCAATTTTTTTAAGGTTAAGCTTTAGCCGGCTCAACCTTTAAGGTGTATGGCTTAAAAAAGAATAAAAAAAAGTTAAGCTTGTATTTTTTTTTAATTTTACAATTTTTTATTTGAATTGTAGCTCTGGGAGCGGGAACGCAATAAGGGTGAAGAGGCCGAGATGGCCTGGTGCGAGTGGAAGGGAGTGCAGCAAACCACTCTCCGGGTCACCTCCGAGGCTAAATATCAACTGATAAGTGAGCTCTTTTACTATTTACTAGCTGTCCCAGCGAACTCCGTACCGCAATAAAAAATAGGGGTTAGTGGTAGAAGGGTGAAAAATTAGCGTTGTGTATGTATTTTTGTATGATGTATCATAAATAAAATAAGCACAAAAAAAAAGTCCAAAAAAAACAATTAAGGGTTAAATTATTAAAGGAGATTGCTCAAATTGGCCCAAATGCACAAAAAATATTGACTTACACGGTCATTCTTGTCGTAATTTATAATTTAATTTACAGTCATTAGATTTTAACGGACACCTTTGTATAATATATTTACTTTAAAAAGGACTTTTAATTTTACCGGTTTGGAAAACATACGAATCATTTTTAATGGCTATGGGTGTAGTAACATTCAGCCAAAGACTGATTGAAGTTGTTTAAATAACATAAAAACAAATCTCTTTTGTAAAGATCGATAAAATAAATCATTTTTTTTATTACACTGTGGTATTAATATCCACAACTATATTATCATTTTCAGTAGATGCAAATGTGCTCAGACAATTATTATAGATGGTAGGCGACATCATAAAGTCTATTGCCATACATTTTTCGCCAAACACCTCCATAAACAACGCCTCATGTGTCTCTAAACACTTTGTATTTCTGTACGTGTTCATAAAACTACCAAAAAAAAAATGTAAGCACATTATAATCTGTATATATGTTAGGGTACGGCCAGAGTGCACTCAGATTCAGATTCAGACTCAGAAAACAAGCGCGAGAAATAAACAGTGTAGTTTAAGCAGGGTGGCCATAGTGGCAGCAGGCAACCTGCTTAAACTACACTGTTTATTCACACTCTGGCCGTACCCTTAGACTTTAAGGTATCTATCTATGGGCCTACGTTCCCTGACTATAAATTAATAAATAAATAAAATTATAAGGTGTGATACACTAAAAATTTAAAATATGGTTATCTTGAAAACATAACAAAAATAATGAAGCTACTGAATATATGGCTATAGAACCTAAATCTCTTAGCTTTCTTTGGTTAACGAGAGTTTAAAAATTCTCTCTAATCTGTGACTCATTCACAATCATCACACAATTTCTGTCAAAGAGTACCTTAATATAACCGGAAAGGACACCTGATTTTAAAAGTTACTCTTAAGCATTAACTTTAAAAATAGGCAACTATCTGTTAATCTAGATGCTTTATATACCTGAATCTAATCCATAATTTCGGTACTTGGCTTGATTTCCCTAGTTTACTATATAACTTATTTGTTTTTTATTATTTTAATATGTTCTGTGTATATGGTTTATAGAAGTTCTCAGGGGTGTCCGTCAATATTATTCGTTTCTACAGTAATTTATATATAATTTCGAATCTAGGAAACAATTTTTCATGATTATTGGTCTTTAAGCTGAGCAATCTCCTTTACCCTTAACATTTAGGAGGATGAAAAATAGATGTTGTCCAATTCTCAGACCTACTGAATATGCATATAAAATTTCACGAAAATAGGTTGAGCCGTTTCGGAGTAGTTTATATTTTAGATTTCATTTATCATAAACAAACGTGATAGGAAATCACAACTAGGTTTGCAACGATATATCGGAATATCGATAATATCGAGACCAAAATATCGATATTTATATCGATAATATCGATATCGGAAATTCCATAATATCGATATTTCGTAGACTAAATTTGAACACAATAATATCAAGAAAGGTTTACTAGAAAAAAAAATACCACGCGGACCAGGCAGCGGACGGGACTCGAACCCGCACCTTTCGCAATCCGGGCGAATGCACTGACCATTATGCTACCACGGCCCTATTCGCCGCGTCGAAATTTTCCTAGCCTAAGCTGCTAGGCAGCGCCATCTCTTCGCATTGTAGGTAACCCACAATGTCAAAATGAATACTTTTTCAAGTATTAAACATTTGAAAGAAGAAATAACAATAATATCAATTAATTTACCTGCTATGACTATCTAAATTGAATGATATCGAAATAATTATTGCTTTGAAATCGCAAGAGCTTATATCTAATACATCTGTATTAAAAAAATCTTGAACCCCAAGAAATATACTAAACTGGTGTGGATTCTGGCATGATTCTCTAAACCTAAAATTAAATTTGACAACAGTCATTCTCTATACAGAATGAAAAGGAGAGACTGATGATAAATTTAGTTTTAAGTTTAGATAATCATACCAGAATCGACACCAACGTATATAGGTATAATCGTATATCTAATGGTAATTCATGCACAATAAAATCCTTGCCTCTCTTTCTAGTTAATCGTCAACTACTGATTAATTGAAATTTAATATCATTGTAATATAACACAAAATAAAATTAAGAATCTTATACAAATCGTAAATTTTTTAAGCTCGCCAAGTCAAGAAAATAAGATAGGTAAAGTAATTTTGGAAGCTTTGGGCTTACCCTATTCTGAAGCCATGGACACGCCCCTGATGTGTGGGAGACTAAGCAATTTGCGTATTTGATGTGCGCTAAAAAACCGATATAGCTTGGAAAAGCACGAATGTAGTGAAAACTTAGCGATGGCATTCGCAAATGTCGTCCCACATATGCGGGTTGGCGCATTCGTGCTAACGAATGTGAGTGATCTGATCAGGATAATAATTTAATTATTTTGGTTTCCTGTCGTGGCTGAAACACAAACCGTGCGAGCCAATAAAAATAATCCTGCTTGGCGCGATTTCATCAAGCGTGTTTAACGAAAAAGCTGGCTCAATGCATTTTGCGAGAAACTCGCCAACAAACATATGAATGTGTCACACTCACCCCGTATTCTAATGTCAATAAAAAATAAAAAGGAAAAAATATCGATATATCGATAATATCGAGTTAAAATGGTCGATATATCGGATATCGATATTTTCCTGAATTCGATATAAATATCGACTTTTCAAAAAACTAATGTCTCAAATATCGGTATTAGAATACTTATTAATTCTCGGGAATTTGTAAGTATTGACCGTTTACAAATAGGCTACTTATTTTCCATCCTCCTTTTAAAACAACAACAGAGTAGATATTTTTACTATCTAGACAGTAGTGACAGAATTTTTTTGGGGCCGTCCAAAGTCTAGTCGTCTCCTTTAGAACATATTATTATATATTTTTCCTCTACAGATATCCTAACGACAGCCATCGGTTTCCCGGAGGAGTGTTGCACCGCGCAACGCTGGAACCCGTCTGGTCCGGACGCGACCTTAGACTTGGTAATAGCCCTCATGTGCATGGGACTCTATCCCAACGTTTGCTTGCATCAAGGCAAGAGGAAGGTAAGTTTTAATACCTATATTATTATTTTATGCATTAAACTGATAGATTTATACAAAATCTAGGATTTTTTTCTGTAAAAATGTTAGTTATTTGATTGAGCTCTATTACCATTTTATCCGCTACAACCAAACCCATGGGGAATCCATTTTATTTTATTTTCTATTCCTGTCGAATCCCCTGTATATAGGATCTTGGGATTACACATTGTTGGCGTATCGGTTACCATAACTCATTTGATTAATAATTAATGTGGACAGAATATGGCTACGCAAGCCGAATGTGGATTGATGGGTTTATTTATTTGGCCAACGACTTTATTTGGTCCTATGACCGGCCATTACGAAAGCTGTCTTACTTCTACAATCGGAGACGGAAAGCAAAAGTCACATTAATTGTGGCTAATGCTTTCCGTCTCCTATTAATTAGTAAACTATTTATTAATAGTCTATTGAATTGACCAACGAATTAGAAATGATATGGAAATACGAACTGCGCAAAAAAGTGGTTCCACGCAAACTGTGATGAGTGGGCGGTGCGAAATGCGATCAACACGTCGATCATGGGATTGTTGTGGATTTTCGTTTAACATTATCTTACCCAATGAATGGATAGCCGAATTCATTTGCAGATACAAATTTGATTTGTCAAATTGTTTTGTCTGTGTTGCGATTCGCGTTAGTTTTGAAGTATTAATTTGGGAACCGTTTTAGCGGCCTTTGTTACAGAGTAATGCTTCCATATCATTTCTTATTCGTTGCTATTGACGGAAAGGCGCTATCATAGCGATTTGATTTTAATAGTGGCTGTGAAATGAGCAAGTATTGCAAATTTTTGACAAAGTACATTTTTTTAAGTAGCTATAAGATCTAAATTATTAGCGCATGAGCAATTCAAGACTTCATCAATCAATCAATTTGTCATTCTTATTTTGGTCACAAATATGTCGAAAGCGTAAACAAACATAATACAATATCCAGGTGTTGACAACGGAAGGCAAGCCGGCGTTGATCCACAAGACCTCGGTGAACTGTAGTAACCTGGAGCAGAAGTTCCCTTCGCCGCTCTTCGTATTCGGCGAGAAAGTACGAACTCGCGCGATCAGCTGCAAGCAGACCACTATGGTGGCGCCGTTGCATCTGTTACTGTTCGCCAGCAGAAAAGTTGAATGGGTGAGTTCTTATACGCACTGTGTTTCTAGATTATAGGATATTGAAAGACGACTATTCTTGCTTGTTTTATATCTGTTTGAAAAGAGATGATGATGAATAGGCTAGTTGACCCTTTTTGGAAAAAGGTTTTAAATGGTTAATAAATGTTCTATTAGACCGAAAAAAAAATTTTTTTTGGGACCTAGAAAAACAACTACAACTACAACATCTTTAATTTTAAAATAGACTTTTCATGGACATACCAAAACGCTGTCGGCCATTTTAGTCTATAGATTATCTATGCTATGACGTCGACTATGTAAACAAAAACTCGTAAGCACGTAGAAAATAACCTATCTGAGTTTATAATAAAAAAAAAGCATGATTTCTAATAAATACCATGAAAAATATAGTAATTATTATTGAGGGCAACGCACAAAGCTTTAGTACGTCCATAGTTTTTTAAGTCTATGTTATGTTATCTCAAGGAACTCTGTTTTCTTTTTGGTTTCTCTTTGGTCTCCGCCATGACACGGTGAGAATGTATTGTGGTTATAAAATAAAGTTAAATGAAAAATCAACGTTTTATTGAAATCCTGCATTAAGAAAAACTCTCAAATCGAAGATACTCATTAATTATTGTATTGTACGAGAATGTAAAAACACATCCTTGAAGACTCCAAGAAAGTTGTGGATTAAAGTGCCGAAAGAAATTAACCTACGCAATACCTGGTTAGAACTTGCTAAAAGTGATCCTGCAACTTTATCGACCCATAGTAAAATTTATTTTAGCGAAGATCACTTTGATGTAAGTACTCATTGAATAATATTTTAAGTCTCTTCATTTATTATCAGTTTTAATAATACAAATTTTAAATATTTGTTTCTTAGGTTGTCTTAGGTTGTAAAAACTAGTTTTATACAAATTTTAAAGTTATGTATGAATGACATTTAGTTGTTTACTAAAAGAGACGTCACAATCATGGCGGATGTGGCGAACAGCGTTTTTAGTGTTTAAAAAGTATAGACTAAAAATATTTTTTAAATTAAATTTCTACAGCAATCTTCTGCTTTTATGAAGTGAAATCGATATATTTAGGTTCCTTAGACCAAATATTTTAAGAAATAAACATTTATTTAATACAATTCGACATGAGTCAACTAGCCTATTTAAACTAAAGTGCAGCTTTAAACAATGAGCATTTTCTTGAAATTTTACGTCAAACATATGGTTTAATGTGATAGATTAAAATTTATAGTAAAAAACAACAGACAATTTTATTTTAAGAATTATCATATCACACTATATAATATTATAAAGGCGAAAGTTTGTGAGTGTGTATGTTTGTTACTTCTTCTCACCTAAACGGTTGGAGCGATTTTATTAAAATTTAGTATCGAGTTAGCTGACAGCCTAGATTAACACATAGGTTACGTTTAACTGCGGAAAAATATCCCTAATAAACCGCGGGTAACACCGCGGGGCACAGCTAGTAATTAATATATCACAAATTACAGAGTAATTTGGATACCATATTATTCACCCTAGTACAGTTAACCGTATGTAGTAGCCAATTCGAGTATAATTTGTAAACGTCTGTACCCCAGGTGGACAATATGGTGCGCATAGACAACTGGCTCAACTTCGACATGTCGCCGCGCGTGGCGTCGCTCGTGGTGGCGCTCAGGCCAGCCGTGGAGCGCCTGGTGGAGCGCGCCGCTACCGAACCGGACGCGGCGCTCAACTTCTCGCCCGAGGAGCACAAGGTGACTGTGAGCACAACACACCGGCCGCTATAGGCAGCCTGGGGGCCTACTCTAATTCAACGAAAAATGAAATTTCGATCGAAACTTCGCACTTTTCTTACTATATTTCTGGTTCGTTTTTAATTATAATAAAAAAATGATTTGGTGTCGTGGGACACCAGGTAGGAACGAAGTTCCTTCGGATAATGCGCATTTAACGGTTTTATTCCACGCACTTTTTTCCACGGATTTTTTCTTACGGTTTTACTATCACATTTTTTTCAGTTCGGTCAGCTAGCGTTCGTAAAGGATGCTAGGCAGGACTGGCCCACAGTTAGAAATAAACTACAATGTCACAATAATCCAGTGATGCACCCCCGTCACTCTGCCACCTCCTGATAAGTACTCACCTTGTAATCATAATCATGTCTCACAGGCGTTACTGGTCCACAGCTTGATATAACTTCACAAATATCCAGTGTTGGTGTAATATAACAATATTTCAGTGATGCACCCTCGTCGCTCTACCACCCCCTATAACTTCACACATATTCAGTGTTGGTGTAATATAACAATATTTCAGTGATGCACCCTCGTCGCTCTACCACCCCCTATAACTTCACACATATTCAGTGTTGGTGTTATATCACAATATTTCAGGGATGCACCCTTGTCGCTCTACCACCCCCTATAACTTCACACATATTCACTGTTGGTGTAGTATCACAATATTTCAGTGATGCACCCTCGTCGCTCTACCACTCCCTTTAACTTCACACATATTACGGGAGTATAATACGCCGCACAGCTTACAATAGCAAAAAGTGTCGTGACAACTTTTTGTAAGATTTTTTTCCGTCTAGCCGCCTTTCACAACGCGCGATAAGGAACTTCGTTCCAATATTCGTCGTCGGAATATAGATTGGGGTGTATATTTTCTAATCCTACGCTAAGAAAGCTTAAATTTGATAGTTTATTGTGCAAATTAAGTATAACCTAAAATTGACGAAATTAAATTTCGTTTGAACTTCGTTGTCGAAATTTCGTTTCGGAGAAAGAGAGTAGACCTCCTGTAACCTTAGCACGGACCGATATCGAATTCGAATAGTTTGAGAGTCCGAAATGTCATTGTCAAGTGTGTACTGATTTTTAGTTCTCGTTACGTACTTTGTGGCGCTGCTGTTCAAGTTTCCATACAAAATTTGACAATGACATTTCGTACTCGCTAACGATACGAATACAATATTGGTTCGTGCTAAGGGTACTGGTCACCTGCGACATGTCGCCGCTCGTGGCATCGCTCGTGGTAGCGCTCAGGCAGACGTGCATTAAATGTGTATCGAAGATCTTCATAATGTAAATTGGTATGTACACCGAGACTGAGTTTCGAGGTGTCGCCTACACGGGAGGTACTTTGTTCCAATCACGGTGCAGCAAATGTTTGTATAATGAATGCGAGCATTTGGACCTAAATCATGACTGTTTCAATATATTCATATCATTGTAACATATCATGATCGTATATATCATCATCAGCCTATTAATGGCCCGACTACCAGGGCACAGATCTTCCTTGCGGATGGATTTTTTTTAGATTGGGGCCATAACCCGTCACACCCGTTCAGCACAGATTGGTATATGCTAACGACTGCAGATTCAGCAGAGACCAATCCGAAGTACGAAGGAGCTCGAGATAGTAAATTTTTGGTCACCAATTCAATGACCCGCCCGGCCATCGCTAATCTAGCTAACTTCCACCATCGTAGACCGAACATATAAAAAGCTATCCATCTAACTAACTAAGCATCTAGATCCTCATAGACAAATGCTAATGACAATATCTTATTTCAGGTTGTGAATTGTTTACGTCAGCTGTGCGTGATGGACGCTGGCGACTTCAACATCCAACGTGAAGTGACACCGCTTGCATTCAGACCGGACGGAGCCAAGCGAGGCTCATTCAGAGGTTGGGGCACAAACGGACCCCGGGGCGGATTCGGTAATTCCGGTGGTAATTCCGGATTTGGTGGCAACCGAGGAGGGTTTGATGGTAACCGAGGAGGAGGAGGAGGAGGATTTGGTGGCAACCGAGGAGGGTTTGGTGGTAACCGAGGCGGATTTGGTGGTAACCGGGGCGGCTTCGGTGGCAATAGAGGCGGTTTCGGTGGCGACCGCGGATCCGGCGGCTACGGCTACAGGGGCGGCTTCCGAGGCCGAGGTGCCTGGAGGGGCGGAAACCAATGGTAGAATTAAGTTAAAACATTCCTAATCACTCATTAAGTGACTGTGTTGTGTAACCAAATAAAGATGTGACTGTAAATCAACTAAGTTTTTTATTTTTAAAGCACAAACCATCTTTAAAAAATGGGATTAATCATGATCAAATGTACCTACTTTAAACAATCATCAATAACAATCATAACAGCTAAAATGTAAATAGGGAAATAAAACGAGGACCCACTCTCGAAGTCACAATCACCAAAAAAAAAAAATATCGCCGCAAGGCGATAGCCTTCGTCATTCGACAGGATGCTGGACGACGATCAATATGAAGTCCTTATCCGGCGCGACCATAACCTCGCTCTTCTTACTTCTTATCCTCAGGAACGTAAGATCGTTTGAGGGATCCAAATCTCGAACGACAGCCTTCGCTTTGTCCACCAGTGCTGACATCAATCCTGCGTACTGAACTGATATATGATTGTCCAAAGTTGTCTTGATGGGTATACCTTCCCCATTTACTATTATCACTCCATGCACTCCCCTGTGAGATGCTAGCTTTCGAACAGTCTCCTCGGCTTCGTTTGCCATTCCAAATAATTTATAGTTAAATCCTGTTGATCTAATGTGGTGGTAATAATGGTAATAAACATAATCCGACCAAGTATTCACATGTGACACTAACTGACATAACGAGTTGGCATTTTTTGATGTTCTGAATTCAAATCACATTGTAGGTATTATATTGACAAGACTAGCCAGCTATTTCCTAATGATATTGCCAAGACGAGAGTTACGTTAGTAAGTTAGTCAGAACCAAGCTTTTAACTACAAGGCCTACCTACACAAACTCTATACCTTAGTCAAAATATGTAACTTGGCCGTTTCGTTACTATAAGAACTTACGTAGTATCTAAATAGTCTGTGCAAGAACTATTATATAACAGAAAAGTAATGGACAGTGGATACATTTTTCACCTGACGTCAATGTGAATGTAGGGAAATAGCCAAGCCACATATGTATTTTGACTTAGGTATCCTTTCAAACTGAGTGCTTGCACAATTATAATAAAAAGGATGTGGTCACTACAAAAATATCTATCTATCAGATAATAAAATTAAGACAACTTGGAATATAATTAATAATGAAACTGGAAGAAAAAAATTTAATGAACACACATATTCTTTAAAAATAGACAACAAGATTATTCGGACAGATGATGCCGTTGCCAACACTTTTGAAAATTTCTTTTCTAGTGCTCAGTTTGAATCAACTAGAAATTTTAATTCTTGTTCTAGGTTAGCAATGACCCTCCTTGAGTCAAGTGTTGATAAGTGCAGTAATGATTTTCATTTTAGACATATCAGTAGTGATTGTATTATAAAAACATTTAATTCTATTAATATGAAAAAAAAGAGGATTTATGGGGAATATCAACATATATGATAAAACCGATTATCGCTGTCATTGCGCCACAACTGGCCATTATATTTAACAAATGTATTGATGAGGGAGTGTTTCCAGATCTAATGAAATGTGCTAAAATTATCCCTCTCTTTAAGGCTGGTGACAAATCAGATCCCAGCAATTTTAGACCTATATCTGTATTACCAGCGCTAAGTAAAGTACATATTTGAGAAAATAATTTATAACCAATTACTAGCACACTTTTCTATAAATAAGCTTCTTTCTAGTGCTCAGTTTGAATCAACTAGAAATTTTAATTCTTGTTCTAGGTTAGCAATGACCCTCCTTGAGTCAAGTGTTGATAAGTGCAGTAATGATTTTCATTTTAGACATATCAGTAGTGATTGTATTATAAAAACATTTAATTCTATTAATATGAAAAAAAAGAGGATTTATGGGGAATATCAACATATATGATAAAACCGATTATCGCTGTCATTGCGCCACAACTGGCCATTATATTTAACAAATGTATTGATGAGGGAGTGTTTCCAGATCTAATGAAATGTGCTAAAATTATCCCTCTCTTTAAGGCTGGTGACAAATCAGATCCCAGCAATTTTAGACCTATATCTGTATTACCAGCGCTAAGTAAAGTACATATTTGAGAAAATAATTTATAACCAATTACTAGCACACTTTTCTATAAATAAGCTTCTTCATTTAAAACAGTTTGGTTTCACTAGAGGCAAAAGTACTACTGATGCTGGAACTGCACTTCTCAAACACATTTTTGATATATGGGAGAGTAAGCACGATGCTATTGGCATTTTTTGCGACTTATCAAAGACGTTTGACTGCGTTAGCCATGAAACATTGTTAAATAAAATGAAGCATTATAGTGTATCAAATATTTCACTAAGTCTGATACAGTCTTATCTTTCTGCTAGGATTCAGAAAGTAGTTATAAATGAAGCTGAGTCTACAGGAGCACCCATTTCTATGGGCGTGCCCCAGGGTTCAATATTGGGCCCATTGCTTTTCCTTATTTATATCAATGACCTTCCTCACTTTACAAGAGATTTGTGTGAGACAGTACTATTTGCTGATGACACCTCTTTTGTGTTTAAAGCTAATAGAGGAAATGATTGTTATGACGAAGTAAATTGTGCTCTCTCTGAAGTCCTTCACTGGTATACGGTAAATAATTTAAAACTAAACTCTAGTAAAACAAAATGTGTTAAGTTTACTCTACCTAATGTGAGGCAGGTTAATACTAGTTTAAAAATAAATGACCAGCCTGTAGAGTTAGTGGATTCTACAAAGTTTCTGCGTATTACTTTAGACTCGCATCTGCAATGGGATCCTCATATTGATGCCTTATCAAGTAGACTGAGCTCTGCGGCTTTCGCTGTTAAAAAAATAAGACACCTAACTGATGTGGAAACGGCAAGATTGGTTTACTTTGGTTACTTTCATAGCGTTATGTCATATGGCCTTTTGTTGTGGGGCTCAGCTGCTAATATAGAAAGTATCTTCGTACTGCAAAAGAGAGCTGTTCGAGCCATATATAATTTAAAGGCAAGAGAATCTCTTAGAGAAAAATTTAAAGATACGTTTATGACAATATAATATATGTAAGAAAAAAACTATGACGCATTTGCAAAAAAAAGTCAAACCCATAACTTTAACACGAGATTTAAGAACAAGCTTGCTGTTCCATGTTTCAGACTCCAAAAATTAAGAAGTTTATTTCTGGGTTGTAGTATTGCATTGTTTAACAAAGTTTCCCAAGACCTAATTGAGCTTCCACTAAGCAAATTTAAATCTCAGATCAAGAATTCTCTTATGAATAAGGGCTATTATAAAGTTAATGATTATCTAAAAGATTGTAATGTATGGACATAGTGTTTCTTGTAATTTATTATTTGATGGGTATTAGTCAGTTTTTGTAAGAGTATTATGGTACCTATCTAATGCCGCTTCCTATATACTAAATATAAAATTATTATTGTAACTGTATATATCTATATCCTAAATGATGTAATGGAAGGTGACTTCAGAAGTATCTCTTAAGTCATTTTTCAACGTGACGACTCTGTATATATCAATACAGGGAGAAAAAAGCAGCCCTTGCTGAGTTTCTTGCCGGTTCTTCTCAGTACAAAGGTCTCCCGCCGTAGTTTTGCGATCCCATGGCGTAGCTTCTGACCTTCACAAGTGCTTGTAACAGCCTAGACTGAATATATGACTTTTCATTTCATTTCTATGGCTTTATGCACTATCAGTGACCATCAATAGCACTAAGGTTGGGATGTACTCTGAAATAAATTTGATCAACCTCTACAGCTTTTAAAATGTAATAAAAGCTTGAATATGAAAATCATCCATAACTCATTCTACCTCTTAATTCACCAAATGGACAAGGATTAAGTGCTAAACTGCATTTGATTGATGAATGTTGGACATGGACAATGATAAAGACAAGTTTAGAATAAGAGTGTTAATAAAATGCAGTCTAATGGACAAAAATGTGTATTCATCTTTGCTGTATCTAATTTAATTAATATATTATTGATATAGTTAAAGTATTAGGAAACTATTCCTAGACATTGAGACAAATTAGAGATGGTGAATTTCATAATCCCAAAGTAATTTATTCTCTATCCTTAATCTCTAAAATTGGATAAAATACCAAGTAACAGTAAAAGTAGAGTAGTTACACATTTTAGAGTCAACAGTGAATTTTACACAATATTGTTTATGAGTGAATATTATCTACAAAATATTTTTTAATTATGATTACTTAACAATCATGATGTACACTAATTAGTACAAGAATTCTTATATTACAATATAGAAAAATCAAGGCAAAAGAATTTTACTGTAATGCTAACAAAAAAAACATTATATATTTATGTTTCGACATTTTCTCCCATTTTTTCCACTTGCAAATATAAGGGCATTCTACCAGATCTGAGTTTTTGCCTTTTGTGAACTTTCAACTGATGTTTCATCATCTGTTTCCTGTAGCCAAAAGCTTTACCACAAATATTGCACAAATGATCCCTTATGCCAACATGATCAACTTTAATATGCATCTCCAAGTTTCGCTTTGTATAAAAACCTCTTCCACATGATTCACATTTAAAATCATGATCTTTGTGTGTGTACATGTGCTTATTCAAATTACTCTTGCTGACAAATCGTGCAGCGCACTCTGAGCACTGGTATGGCTTTTCACCAGTATGAATTCTCATATGCATTTTTAAAGATTCTGTAAATCTTCCTCGATAGGGACAGAGTCCACATTTGTATGGAAGTTTGAAAAAATGAGTCAAGCGATGTCTTGAGAACTGTCCTTGTATGATGAATTTTTTACCACAAATATCACACATGTATGGACAATCTGGCTGGTGGATTGCCATGTGTTTCTTGTAATACATTGCCGAATACGACTTGTTGCATACAGGACATGTTATTCTTTTATTCTCATGATCTTCAGAAAGCCTGTGATCGCAATATTCTTTCAAACTCGCAAATGCAATGTCGCAGCGACTGCAAAAATAGTTCTTCTTCTCTTCTTCACCTTCATCACAATCCAATGTGTTATCATCCAAATCGTCACCTAAATCACTTAAGGTATTACTCTCTTTAGACGTCTCAGGGTTGATTGGTGAACTTGGAGGAAGAACGCGTTTAGAGGATTTTTTAAGAACCTTTTGCGACTGTTGAGCAGTTTTTCTCAATAATATAGCACCTTGTAAAAGGGCATGACAGGAGTGACATAAATATTTAGGATATGTGTCTTCTTCGTCGATTTCTATCCCAGCAAGTGTAGATAAAGCTCGTGGGATATCATCCGTAGCTTGATCACCATAGATGGGTATATCACCTTCCTTTAAACATACTCTACAAGAGTTCTCCTTAAAATTGCGATGACTTCGCTTGGAGCGTCGTCGTTCTGGCAAACCTGATTTTGCACTATGCGAAGATGAAGACTTCTGACATTTTTTCCTACAGTGTAACATTTTTAGCAACAGTAAAGGGCCAACCATGTTAGTTGCTTTATAAATACACTGCAATTGCCAAACTTTTTCAATCAGCAATTCCAAATAAAGGATTTCTCACTCACCAAGACACCATACTGTTTTTTTTTGTCTATTTGTCCCTGATGGGACCAGGATGGGCAGGCAATTGGAAGGACAAGGGATTCTGAGTTCATACAGTCCATATATTTTTTATCTAATATTCTCTCTTCTGATGAAGGCAAAAGGAAACAATGACCATACAGCCTAGTTTTAAGTATTTTTAAGCTTTTTCACTTGAGAATGTGGCTGTGATGACACATTTTATGTTTCTAGACGTGTTAGGCACGAAATGTGCCGTGTCTGCTTTTTCGATAAGCTTCTGTGAGGCAGTCAACACTACAATTAACTTCTCGCGACCACTTGACCGGAATACAGTGTATTATAAAGATTCCACTAATTTTTCAGTTGCGCAGACGTTTGTATATAATCACACCAATTTTATATCACAATGAACGTATTAAAAAACAAACTATTGTACATCATATTATATTTCTAAGTATTGCGATGGCATTTAATGAAGAGAAAGCAGATAACATATACACTTCTGGACACATCTATTGGCCCACCTTAGAGTTTAGGTTTCGATGGCCCATACCGAAATATGATTGCTAGATTGAACAAAAACTGTTGATGCAGTTTTAAACCTGATACATTTTACCATCTTTTTCGATCGTATTGTTTTAAATTTGAATTCAGAATATCATACGACTTGAAACTACGCCTAACAAGTCGGATATGCGCCTTGTTAAAGGCAATTGATTTTTGAATAAAAAACATGTTTTATCAAATAAAGGTTTAGAGTCCGCGCCACGACTCATGTCCGATAGACGCGGCGCCTCTGTCTTGTAACAAAATGTTGCCAGTAGGAAGAAATTTTCTCCCACATCTCATTACTTTAAAATTATTTTTATTCATCGGAATTAAATATTTTTTATAACTCAAATAATGACACAAAGAATATTTATCAATAAAACAATATTATAAAGTTTAATATAATTTAATGCAATAATTGTGGTCATCATGATACAATTCTTTTAAGCCAGATATATCGCAATCACTGTTACTCAATTCTTCCTCGGTGGAATCATCAGATTCAGTATCACTATCACTCTCTGTTGATATTAAGAATCTCTCCATTTCCACATCAACTAGTCCGTCATTTTTAAAGTACTCATCTTCAAGATGTTCCACGTGGTTACACTGAACGCTCCAGTCTTCTGGCGTAACACTAGCAAAAGCAGCTTCTGTCAATTCTATTATTCTTTTTGGATCTTGAGTAACATTTTTATCAGCAACGCGTCTCTTTACCAAACTCCAAAATTTTTCGATAGGATTTAGGTCACAGTGGTAAGGAGGTAATTTTACCACTTCGTGATTGTGTTGTTTCAGTAGTTCATCAACTGCAAAGAGCGGTGGTTCTTTGTTTCTTTTAATGATATCATATAACACTGGTTTAGTCCATCTCTCTTTAAAATAAATTTGTTTTTGTCGTAACCACTCCTGCATATGTGATTTTGAGCTTGACATCGTAGGAGCTTTGTTTATCTGAGTGCAATGATACGGAGCATTATCCATTACCACAAGAGATTTTTCAGGCAGATTTGGTACCACTTTTTCAGTCATCCATTTCAAAAAGTTTGTGGCGTTCATATCGTCGTGATAATCTGCAGATTTTGATTGTGACCTAAACATTAATAACGCATTTTTTACAAATCCGCTCTTAGTACCCGCATGTGCAATTATAAAACGTTTTCCAGCTGATTCTGATATCAATAATCCATCCTCTTCTTTGCTTTGCCAACAGCTTTTAGCGTGATATGTCGGATGAATGTAAGTTTCATCTAAGTACACCACAGGCCTTTTGTCAACTAGCCTATTTTTCCTCGTTCTTTCAATGTACCTGGCGCGCCAAGCAGTAATATCATGTCGCTCCATCAACACTTTGCGTTTAGATTGACAACGTTTGAATCGAAAACCTAACAGTTTCAATATTCTTCGTAAAGTTGTATTACTCCCTTGAAAATTTATATCCCTTTTTAATTCCAAACGCAGTTTATTAACAGTAGGAAATTCTTTTTTCACAACATAGAAAAAATGAATTTTTTGGCGTATGCAACACAAATCAAAGTCATCCAAATCAATTTTCTTAGCTTGTGGACGACTTTTTCCAGGAGTAACAATTTTATTTGATGTTGCCATTGCAGTTTTTCCTTCTTTAGTGATTCTTGACACCGTTTTAACAGACACACCTAAAATCACAAAGAAACCAGTTTAAAATATTATTAATTGATTCATCATTAAACAATATATTCTACTCGCAACCGAAAAAAGGTGAAAACTGACTACTTTAATTATAAATTGAAGTTAATAAATATAAAACTACAATAAAATGCAACACAAACATTTTTTTTGTATAAATTATTTAAACATGACACAAGCCTAACAGAAAATGTTACTCCATAAAATGAGGTAAACATCAATGACCTTATAACCCTAAAATTTACCTGTCATGGCAGCGACTCGCATTTGAACATCTTGTAAAGGGATCAAAACATTGTTATTTTTCTTCTCCAGCTCACAAAACTGTTTCACCTTAAGAATTACTTCTCTGGCTGCACTTCTTATCACTTTACGCTCCATAATCAATCTCCTTCCAATAAAAAACAAATCAAATTTACAAACAACACTCGCAACGCACACACCTGACAAACGACAACATGGCGGAGCTGTCACATTTAGTTCGACGTTTCGCCGTCGGACTTGAGTAGTGGCGCGGACTCTAATTTAATAACGCGTGTTGCCTCCATGGGCATCTACCACAGCTTTCATACCAGGCATAGAGTTTATAAACCGCTCTATGAAATTTTGAGGGATCATCTCCCATTCCTCTTCTATGATGTCGATTCTGGCATGATTCTCTAAAGCTAAACTTAAATTTGACAACAGTGCATCCTTGTCCTTCTCTATACAGAATGAAAAGTGAGACTGACCTTAAATTTGGTTTTAAGTTTAGAGAATCACGCCAGAATTGACACCTATGACAGTTTTCAACTCCTGCATCGTCTGGGCAACTGGCTGACGAGCCCTAACACGTCTTTTTAGCTCGTCCCACATGTGCTCAATGGGTTTCATGTCTGGGCTTCTGGCTGGCCAGTCCATAACTATGATGTTCACATCCCGAAGATATTCCCTGACGATGCCGGCCGCATGGGCTCTTGCATTATCATGCATAAAAAGGAAATTTGGGCCCACATAGTCCGTGTATGGTATCACGTGAGGTTCTAAGCACTCACGAATGTACCTTTCAGAATTTAATGTTGGCAGCCGTGGTCCTGTAACAACTTCAAGTTGAGTTTTGCCGCTCGCGGATATACCGCCCCAGACAGTCCATGAGCCACCGCCATAAGCAACCCTCTCTTCAAAGCAGCATTGTGCGAAACGCTCTTCCTTACGTCGGTAGACCTTCTTCCTTCCATCATTGCCATGTAACAGCATGTAACACAATTTTGGACTCATCAGAAAAGAGTACACGGCTCCAATCTTGCTGTGTTTAAATGACTGCGTGCGAAATGAAGGCGCGCTGTTCGGTGGGCTCGCGTTAGTTTGGGCCCATTAGCTGGCTTGTGTGGTACCATATCGCGTTCTTTTAACCTTCTCCGAACAGTTCGAGAGCTCACAGATACTCCGTGGAAGTCGCGAATTTGTTTTTGTATCTCAATGGAGGTAAGGTGACGATTTTGACGATTGGTCGTCACGATGAATCGATCCTGCCTTTCAGTTGTGACCCGAGATCGTGGCCTTCCTTGGCGACGAACAAAGCCGCCAGTCTCTAGGTACCTCCGATAAACATTTCGGACCGCAGATCGACTTAAATTAAGTTGAGCACTCACGTTTCTTTGGCTGTGTCCGGCCTGAATAAGTGCCACAGCTTGGGCGGCGACTTCAGGTGAAGTATCCATAGATTATTGATAGAACCTAACCTTAATGTTAAGAATAAGTAATGTTTGTTGCAAAACCAAAGATATCAATCACTTTTTCAAGAATTAAATCCAAGTAAACCAATAAAACCAAGTTTTCTTAGTATTCGATTGTTTGATATCAACAAACAGGCTCCAAATTGTCTTTCGTTTCTTCAAATTCTGTGTTCGAAATTCAAAATAAGACTATTGAATGAAATTGTGAATGTGCCAGGTTCAAAACTGCATAAAAACTTTTTGCTCGTCCTAATATAAAATTTTAGCTAGGACCAAACGAAACTGTACTGTAAATGCAGAAAGCAATACATATTTTAGACATAGGGTACGGCTACAGTGCACACTGGTGCAGAATCAGGTTCAGACTCAGAAAAGAAGCGCGAAAAATAAACAATGTATTTTAAGCAGTGTGGCCATAGTGGCAGCAGGCAACTGGTTGCCCGCGCAGGGTTAGGAGTCAGAGACTTTACCGGAATGCTTAGGTCATTCTTGTTTCCGGTACTGAATTCACCAGCGCCGCTCGGACTGTACGTTATAGTTGTTAATGTAACCTTTTTCTTGGATGTGTTATAAATTTAGTGCCTTGCTTCTTGTTTGCGATCTTTTCTTGTTTCTTGATTTATATATTTTGAATTAACATAATGAATATACAAGTGCTTATTGCGAATTTTTTTATTAACCCTGCTGTATGCTTAGAGCATTTATACCGTAAATGCTCTAAGGCTGTATGGGATAAAAGAGACAAGAACCATTCAGATAGGAATGACGTTGATAGTGCTGGCAAAACATCGCCGGAGAAATGGGTGTTGAAGGTAAAGAAATTATGTTTTCTTGTACTCTCATTTTATTACAATTTACTATATTATATTCTAAAACGTGTATTGCGTCGTAATAATTGTTACAAAAAGTAAACAATAAAATGTAAACACAAATTAAATAACAGGCAACACATACCTACAGATCTTTTTTAGATCCACATTCATTCCATGAAATGATTTTGTTTTTAAAAAATACTATTAGCTTTAAATTGATACGATCGCGCGTCTTGCGTCCGCGCCTTGTATTATCTGCCTCCATTGCGGCCATCACCTGCTTTCCTCAAGCTGACATCTCCGAACCTGTTTTCTGAGTCTGAACCAGGGATGTAATTTATCGGAACCGAAGTC